TCACCTTGGGTCCAGAGCAGTGGAGACCTCTGAATCCATGAGCCCCAGCAAACTTTTCCTCCTCCAAGTTGTTCAGCTATTTTGGTCACAGCTGAGACAGAGGCCAGATGGCAAACGACCTGAAAAGACCCCAGGAAAGAAGAGCACAGATGGCGTCCAAAGAGGTGAAAATGGCTGGACACAGGAGCAATCACTGAGGTGCAGAACTGACCCCAGCGGCCAGCTCTGCACACATGGGTCACCTAGTGACTGTGCATCTGACCCCAGCGGCCAGCTCTGCACACCTGGGTCACCTAGTGACTGTGCATCTGACCTCAGTGGCCAGCTCTGCACACCTGGGTCACCTAGTGACTGTGCATCTGACCCCAGAGGCCAGCTCTGCACACCTGGGTCACCTAGTGACCCTGCGTCTGACCCCAGTGGCCAGCTCTGCACACCTGGGTCACCTAGTGACTGTTGCGTCTGACCCCAGTGGCCACTCTGCACACCTGGGCCACCTAGTGACCGTTGCATCTGACCCCAGAGGCCAGCTCTGGGTCATCTAGTGACCATGCATCTGTGTGAAGAGCTTTTGAGGGGGTGGGCTTTGGGGGCACATTGGAGCCAGTGCCTGCATCTGACCTTGCTTTTTGTTCAGGACAAATAGTTGACCCCTCATCCCTTGTTTGAGTGTTCTGGTTGATGCATTGAAATGCCTTTCCTCATTTGCCTCCATTTTAATAGTCCCTTGGTTGCCCCCAACAACACGCCACAGGAGAGTGATTGAGACAGCAGAGATTCACCCTCCTGCAGTTCCAGAGACTAAGCCCTGAAGGCACAGTGACAGCAGGGACAGGCTTCTCTGAGCTCTGGGGGAGAGCCCTTCCTTGCCTCTTGGAGCGTCTCCTGGCTCCCGACAAACCCTGGCCCTTGGCCTGTGGCTGCTCCCTTAGGCTCTGCCCAGGTCATGCCTCCTACCATGGGTCGGGGCTTCCTTCCACGTCCTCCTATAGAGACACTGACCATCGTAGTTATGGCTCTGACCCCATATGACTTCCTCTTTACCCACTGCATCTGCAAGGACCCTTCTTCCAAATAAGGTCACACTCTGAGGTCCTGGGTGGACCTGAATGTGGGGCAGCTGCCGTTCACCCACCATGTTCACCCACTTGCCGCTTGGTCATATTTTTTCTGTCGTCTGTGTAGTTAACCAGGAATCTGTGATGTTGGAGCTCTAGGATCTGATCTTATGAACCAGCTCCAGGTGCACCGAGAACCTGTAACCCATGGAGTCTCCTCTGACTCTGTGACCTGTTCCTGAGAACTTCCTTTCTGTAAATGTTGACAGACTCGTAAGACATTCACAGCGTCACGTTATTCGTACTCACCCACACGTGCCTGTCCTCTGTGACCCCTCTTCTCTACCAATTTCCTTGCTTTTCATCATTTTCCTTCTACCTTAAAACTTCTTCACGTATTTTCTCCAGCTTTGATGCTGCCATCGGCATACGCTCTGGGCATCCACCACCTGGGGCTGTCCTCATCTGTGCAGACCTTGTCAGCAGGTGTACACCTCCAGCTTGTGGCCGACTTCAGGTGACACAGGCACAGTTCCAGTGTCTCCTGGACTCCATCATGCCCACCAGAAGTCATCTGTCAGTCTCCTTGTTACTTCTGTGAAGTTACTTAGTCTCTCCTTCTCCCTGACCTCTTAAATTTTTCTGTCTTGACATTTCAGCACCAGCAGGGCCAGGGGTGGTTGTATGTGCCCTGCCCTGCTTAGGATTCTCAGTGTGTTTTTAATCTGTGGTTAATAGCTTTCATCAGTTAAAGTTCTGACATACTTCACTACCTCGACTCACTCATCTCTCCTTGTAGGATAAACCTATATTTTCTAATGAGTCCTGCATGTTTGTTTGTCTATTTTTATCTTTTTTCTGTGGCTCCATTTTGATTTCTTCACCTCCCTTCATTCTCTAAACTTCTCTTTGTCTTTGTCAAATATGGTATTAAACTACCAATTTCTCAATGCAGTTATTATATTCTTCATTCATAAACTCATGTTGGATTCCTTTATAGGATTCTGCCACTGAAATTCTCCAAAAAAATCTTCACTGTTACTTTAAGCTCATGATTGACATTCAGATCTCTGGAGCACCTGTGCACCTGTGTGGTCTTCATTTCTCCTCTTTTTCTGTTTGGGTTTCGTTTCTCCTCTTGGTCTGTGTGGTCTTTGTTTTTCCTCTTGGTCTGTTTGGTCTTTGTTTCTCCTCTTGGTCTGT